AATAACATCAAAACCTTTCTGTATTCGACAATTTCGTTATGATATCCCATTCACAAAACCAAAATTTCAAAGACTGTACATGACCATAGGGTCGTTGATGCTCTGTTTTTACCTATAAACAAGTCAAAATCGTTCCACTTATCGTGCAATATCTCTTTTCACACCCAACTACCAGTAGAATTGTCGCAAATCTCGATACATCTTGTTGGTACCTCAATGAATAGAAAATCGATATTTGTGAGCCTCATTCAAAACTATTTCACGGATGTCATAAACGAGGTAGCCAAACTCTATTTTTTAAACATTTCAACCCTCGACTGTCTTCTTTCAAACTAGCTACTATACCTATAATTCGTTCCCGTTTCAAATTTTCATATTTCAACGCTTCACTCTGACACTTCAGTAACTCGTCGAGGATATTTGGTATTGACTTGCTTTGATCGTTTTGCTCTTTTTTTACGGCTTGAAGCATATGCTACCACATTTGCTTTCTCTAGGTGATATATGATCTCACAATCTTAATCATTCATTAATTCTAACCACTGCCATTGGCGCATATGTATTTCCTATTGATTGTATAAATGTTGAAAACTCTTATGATCTGTGAAAATCTGACATTTGATACCATACTGATAATGTCTCCAAATCTTCAAAAGAATTCACTGGCTACTAGAAGGTAATGACTAACACATGATGTGCTGTAGAATGGGGGTTAAATACAAACACAATAAATATTTCACTTTTCTATTTCCATATTTTGTATTAAAACAAAGAGTTGCATATTTGTTACAACAGTTAGGAGAGTAAGACCTGATTCTAAACAATCTGATTGGTGACAAATTTGCTAACAAGAAAAAGTGAGAGAAGAATGTACTCTTTTAGAACTGGAGTATTGAGATAGTCTTTTTGATGATGGCGTCGATTTTTCCTAAGAAACTATCACTCTAAATTTCATTCAAAACGGGTGAGTTGCAACAAATGACAATGATGACCTTTTATATCCATCATTACATTAAATGTCGATGTCCAACTTAATCTATGTCTTTATCTGATTTGCTGATCCATGCATGCTTGTTCTCTTTATTTCATCCTTTGAAGTTGATGACACTTGTTAACCTAACCCATCTTTTTGTATGCAAAATGAAAAGTAAAGGAAGTATGGTACTAATTTCGGTTGCATAATTTTCAAGAACTTATCTTGTCTGACATGCCAAACATGCTCCCATACTAAGATGAGAGTCCCTATAATTGCTAAGCCAAACTTGTTGGATAAGTTTGTACTCTAATTTTGGCTTGCCAGAAGTTGTATTTATCAGACTACTTTTAACTTTATCTTGTACTGATCTTCTTTTGCCTAGATTACAATCTAATTCGCTTTGGTAATGATCTTAACCTCACTTTAACTAGTATTCGATTTTGTTGAAGGCTTTTTATTCTTGGATCAATACAAATAGTTACAAGACTTTTACAGAGAAAAATCCTACCTATCTTCTCTAAATATAAGTTATAGATTGTATTCCAGCTTAGACTATTTATCAAGTATGGAGATTCAGATGATACATGTAAACTTAAAGTATATGTGGGTTTATGAATCAAGACTGAATGATCATGTTAATGGATCAATCAGACTCTTGCATTCGGATGATGAAATATCATATATGAGATTTGATTCCAAGATACTATGTAAAATATAAATCCAAAAAATTCCTTAAATGAAATCTTATTGTAAGAACTAAATGCGGATGTCAATACACTTTGACAAATCCGAGTGAATGATGTATATCAGATGTCATACATAATAAGATAAAAAAAATTTAAGTGTTGAATCAAATTTTATTTGTATCATTGTCAAATCCGATGGTTGAGACCAACAGTTATTAAAGACAACATCCTTATCGACGTCCACAATACATCGACGAAATCCACGTTCGCCCAGGCTTTTTAACCTAAAACCGCGTCACCAAAATACTTTATCTTGTTTACTTTGAAGACTCAATCTATAGTTAATAAGCTCCACATTCAAACCTTTAAGTTATTTGGTTTTCATGTTTTCAGCTCAATGAAGAACATAATCAAGACTTTGGGTCTATTAATGAGCCAACTTCCATCAAACATTTTTTTGGGCATATGTCATATGATATGACTTGCTTCTAATGGGCTTTTGATCTAACATCAGTTTTAGTGCTTTTAATAGACTTTGGGCTACTTCATCTGGGCCTATGATGGGATCTAAATTTTGACTGTCTTTTACAACCCAATTTATGGTTTAAGTTAAGGTCACCATGTAAATAGATATAGTACCAATGTTATTTACAATTATACTTGTGGTATTCTTTTTTTGGTATAGTTGGGGTCTTCCTTGAGCATGTTTTGGGTTGGCTTTTAACTTTTATAATGGGTTTTAGTTTTTTGTTTCTTTAAATAAAGTGTTACTTGGGTTTTTGTCACCTTTATCCAAAAAAAGACACCACAACCACTAGCCGATGGTGTTCAAACCGGTTTTTGGCTTGAGATCTTGCAGGTTCGAGAAACCCACTTCCCCTCTCATGAGCTTTTGCATACGCCATTCCCCTTGTTTGTTTTATGCATCTCAAACCACCACATGGAACTGGATTTGTTTATGCCGCATATCCAGGATGGATTTCGGTATTCTTATTCGTGTTTTGTTTAGAATCTGATTTAGGTTTGAATTGCAAGTTTTTCATGATTTGAGGTTTTTATGATAAAGTTTTGTAATGAAATTGGTACAAAATTAATGATTTATGTCCGTATGTTCTTGATGCTAATAGTGATTTTCTTGTTTTTATGTTGGTTTAGATTTGCATAATTTGTTGTTAAATGGATTTGGTGTTCGTGGTAGTTAGAGTTTGAGAAGATGAATACTTAAGAACAAAGTATGTAATTAATTATTTAAAAAATGAAAAAAAAAAACAAATTATTTTTGGAAAAGAGACCAATTTACCCTCATAGTTAACGAGAGAGTGAATGGACATTAAGCAAATGGACCAAACTAATCCAAGACAAATTGCATAAGTGGATGGTTATTATGTAATAAATAAAGATAAATGATCAAATTCATAACAAACGACAAAGTTCATTAACCAAATCCGTAATTTTCTCCATTCTTAAACTACAATTTCTTCTCTCGCGTCAAATTTTATCTATCCTTGGAGAACTTATTCATTCAGATGGTATTAACCGAGTCGATGATTCCCACAACTTAGGAAAACAAGCTAATGTCTTTGTTTCAAATGTTGCTACGTTTTATTACCATGCCACTAATATCAGCGTGTCACCACCACCTAGGGGAGTCCCCACACTATTGGATACAGTGACATGGGTCATCGCGTCGTTCCTCCATCTTAAGGGGTGTTTCTTTTCAACTTAATAAGCTTAATGGGTGGATTGGTTAAGTTATATTTAGATGTTTGATTTTAACTTAATGCTAAGAGATTGACTTAACATGTTAAGTTAACTCAACTTATTTTGATATTAAGTAAAAGAAGTTCCAAAATTACCCTTGTTCTAATTTTTTAACCAACGTCTCGCTAAAAAAATAAATAATTTACCAACATGTATAAATTAAAAAAAATGTAAAAAGAAAATAATACTTTATTGTTGTAAATATATTTGAAGTTAATAAGTATTGTGTTATGAACTCGTTGAATTCCTATTATTTTTGTTATTTTAAATAAATCATGCTATTTTAACTTTTTGTTATTCAAAATATTTATTACTCAATTTATTTTTGTTCAACATTTATGTAAACATAATGTTAAAATAGTAATTTTTATTGTTCAAACTATTTATTGAGAATGAAAATCAAACAACAATTTATCTTAATTTATCCGGACAGATCAATGCTTAGAGATAACTTAATATATATTCAGAACTTAATGAATAAAAAATCAAACAACCCCATAGCCAATAACGGTATTGTTTTATTCTATGCAACCATATATATTTTGAAACTACAATGGTGATAGAAAATTTTGATAAAGTTGGTTTGCATGGTTTTTCTCCCCCCAAGACCTGGCTTTGAATCTCGTTTGTGTCATTTTTCTTAGATTTTAACTTTTAATTTCAGATTTATTATGTTTTTGAAAAAAATTGCAATAAAAGATTTGAACACAATACCTCATATATAAAAAAAAACAACGAAATAACTAATAGACCATGATGATTTTATAAAAAATATCCATATATCTATTTTCTTAAAGTGAAATGGTGTCATCGTTTAAAAAAAATTCTAGTTACACCTGGAACACCACCATAGCAAGATAGTGATCTATAGCAAGGTACATATATATAGTGGCGATGATGATTATCAGTTAAGGGCCGATTAGGTTAGATATTGTATTCAAAATTATACGCATCATTTTGTATAGTTAATTAACTTTGATTGTGTTTATATTCCATTAATTTAAATTGTGTTTATAGAAACTTGCGAAACTTTTGAAGAATATCCACGGTTTCAGAAGTGATATACAGCAACGTACGACAGTCGTCGCTATAGGTTTTTCAGGAAGGTTCAACTCCAAAACTGTAGAAACCAAACCTTTTGCGATGGCAGTCGTCATCACTAGCGATCTTACCGATGATTTGTGGATCTATAGGGACGACTTATGCTGTCGTTATAACCGCATGCTTCGTGTAATGTTAGTTTCTAAGGGGTTCTTGATCCGTAGATTACAAGATGACATACATGGATAAACCTATAAATACAAGTCAAAGGAGGTTTAACACTTTCATTTTACTTACATGCATACAATATACCCTCTTTAAACCAGATTTTATCTCTGTGTGAATTTCAAATTTGTGGTGTTTCATGGTACCATTTGTTCTGAAAAGAGATATATAGGGTACATTAACAAAGATCAAACGGTAATTTGTCGAGGATCAAGCTCTGAACGTTAACTTAATTGCTTATGAACACACCTGAATCTACCTAGTAATTGAAGGAGACATGTTTTTGCTTGTAACTTGTGCAAGTTACAGGTGATGATGAAGACGAAGATTGTGACTATTCAAGATTATTTAAGATTGAGTTTATCCTAAGATACTTTCTTTCGATTGATGATTCTTGAAGGCTAGCTAGCTATTACCTTCAATTTGAAATAGTTACTAATAGATAAACAGAAGCTAAGAATTTAGACGCTAGAAGAAAAACATCAATGAAATTAGAGAAAAAATTCTCGATTATTTAATACTCTTGATCGTTGCTTTCGCTCCAGTCTTCAATTGCTTGAAGGACTGCTTGTTTCACAATATGCGTGTCGATGGATTCTCCATTTTCTTCATTCTGCAGAAACAATTCTTGTTCAGTTTAGTGCAAAAAATCTAGTTTTTTCTAGCTATCAACGTTTTAATTAATTTCCTTCGTACTTCTATATTTGTCAAAGATGTCATTCAAGCATGAGATTCGAGCTTTAGATGAAATGATGATGATGTTGTGCTACAAAACCTATTGTAACAGTTTTTTAGGACACTAGATGAATGGTTCAAATTTGATCATGCATGAATATTGATAAACTTTGCATGGATTAATCAACTGAAAAACTTTCTGATGAGTTGAATTTAATTGTTCAGACAGAGTTCACTCGAAAAGATGACATTTTATTAAGACAACTTATTTGAATTCGAATCCGTAAACTGTTTGTTAGGATCAGCGAAAGCATTTGAGCTCGAATCCGTTAGTTGGATGTGTATATTCAAATGAAATCCTAAAGTTCTTTAAACCCCAGATTAAGGAAAGCTTAATTGTTGGATTTAAAGCTTAATTCAAATGAAAATGGTTGGTAATTGATAACGATAGTTATTATATTGTATCCTTTGATTTTTGTATTTTGTCAGAATTTGAAAATCTTGAAATAAAAATTCTAAGAGTATCCTTGTATATATGTAAGCAAGGTGAGCCACATAATTACATGTATTATAGTGTTTTTTAAGTCCTCCAAATCAAGATTATGTGTGTATTTTCTGCTTCTTTTTTTGGATAAAAAGTATATGTGTTCAATTATCCATGGTAATTGGTAATGGTACTTACCTCAACTCCAAGTGCTTCAAGTTGAAAGCTGCCTGTACAAGAAACCCTAGCTTCCAACACATTAAGACTCAATTCTTCAAAGACTTTCAATACAAAAACTAGTAGACCTGGGCAGCTTCTTTCTGAATACACATTTACTTGTACACCCTTTTCTAGGGTATCTACTGTAACCTGTGCAAAACCCGGATGCTGTTTAGAGAATAACTAATAGCATATATCAATACGAAAAGTTAACACCTATCGTATACGCATACCATAGGCCATGAGTTCTGGTAGCTCGAGCTGCGGGCTATGTCTTGATTCAATATCTCTATTTTCTGCTTGAGCTCTTCTATGTAGTTGGATGCATCTATTATGATCGATGAATCTTTCTTCTGCAACAAGTTTTTGATGAATATATCGTTATTAGAATCGAAAGAATTCAAATTAGGGTTTGTACTTGGATCACTTGAAAAAGATGGTTATTCGTGTTTTCGAGATTGATCAGGGATCATATGGACACTAGACCGAAAAGGGTGTAACTAGAGCTTTTCGAAACCCAAAACTTGTGTGTTCGTGCGATCGAACATAAAGAAGAAACCCTTTTTACGGATCCAAGAAAAGGCAAAACTTTTATTGCTTATCCATTGATTCAAATTAAAGTGTTCGGATTGAACGGTTTTTGGTTACTTGGAAGAACCCATTTCGGAAACATAAAGAAGAATTTAATCGAATGAAAACTTAGAATCAGTGAAGCTAGAAAGAAGGTGGAATTACTGCATGAGAGTTTGTAACAGATCGAAGAAGTTGCAGCTTGTCATGCAGTGCAGCTTTCTTGTGCTCTCTTGACACCATTTTTGAGTTCTTTCTTGACTTGTTTTCTTCTTGCTTTCTTGCATCAATCTCAAGCTTTTTAAAGAGAGGATACGAGCACTCAAATCAAAATCATCACTTTGTTTGCTACTTACACATGACTGTCTTATACTCTCTTTACAGTAAAATACCAAAAAACTCCCTGAAAAAGATCTCGAATTTGGTTGGAACCTTTGTATAATTCCAACAGTACCCTTTTGTTTATTATTGATTTCGGAGAAAATATGGAAAAGGGGTCAAGATATATATGTATACATTATTTATGGATATCTAAGAGGACCCATAACTGTGATCTTATGAATTTAATCTTAATTTAAGCTGAATGAAATAAGATGTTTTAGATAGTTCATAAATTGGACAAAATGGGGCTTATCCACCGCTCTATGACTACGGATCACCGCAGATTATGATGTTAAGAGAGATGCCCAAAATGAACGGATTTGGGTTTGATCTCTTATAATGGAACAATTAAAGATGAAGAAACCTTCAAAGCTAATAAATTTGTTACAGTAGTCTTAACAAAGAAAGATGAAGAGGGTCGCTTTTAATCTGTTTGTTGCATGATTATCGTTATAAAAATGTTTAAAGCTTTTAATTTGCTTAGGGAGAATGTGATTAAATTATTAACAACAACAATATATATATATATATATATATATATATATATATATATATATATATATATATATATATATATATATATAGATCATAACAATACTAGGATAATTGTAAATATGGTAGAAAGGGGTATTGAGGGTATATTTGTCAAATTACAAAGATGTGAAATAAGTTATAAGACAAGGGCACTGACGAAGAATAATGGGGAAGAATTATGAACTCGTGATCATTGTTTGGAATTGAAAGGTGAAAGTGTGTGTACTATACGCAAGTATATTATGCATACATACACCCAACCCTCTAGGGTTGGGTTCACGTGAGATCAAGAGTTTTTCGTAAGAACCGTAAGATCAATTTATGTTCATTGATCAATTTTATAAGTTAAAGATCTAATAGTCTAAATTGCACGGTGACAATTTTGTAATTATTGAGAAGTCTCATGGCATTTGTGAATGTTCAGATCTGACGATTATAGATCTAATCCAAGGGTTGAGAATTGGTCTTACGGGTCTCACGAAAAAGCCTTGGTCTCACATGATCCCAAGTCTATATATATATATATATATATATATGTGTGTGTGTCTTGTGTATATATATATATATATGTCTTGTATATATATACACCTGCTATCATGTGATGAAAATTTCATTTTTCTTTAAAATGTGAGCAATATTACTTTTATATTGTATGAGTCACTACAATAAAATCGGGTTTATAAGACACTCTCAAATTCTAAGTATCCTAATAGATCTCTTTATATAACTTAATTTATAGGACCAAAAAAATAAATTGTCATATCTAAAGGTGTTGTAATAAGTTTATATGACGTTTTTTGACGTCGTAATAAGTTTTTTAAAATACTTTTAATATAAAACGTCTCATTATCAACTTTATAGGACACTATTTGAAAAATTGTCCTATAAAAACAAATGTCCTATAAAAAGTTAAGTTTATAGCACACTGTCTCAAAAGTGTCGTAAATTTGCTAATACGACACTTTGTATTAAAAATATTCTAAAAAACTTGTTAAGACGCCTAGAAACGTCATATAAACTTATTACAACACCTTTAGATAAGACACTTTATATTTTGATTCTATAAATTAAGTTCTATAAAACGGTCTATTAGAATGCTTAGAGATTGAGAGTGTCCTATAAACCTAATTTTATTATATATAGTAACTATTACTTATACTTCGTAATTCATATATAAACTTATATTCTTAGGCTTCACTTTAAATTTAGATATATTATGTGAAAGTTTAACATCTCACACTAGATTTGGGAATAGGTATTAATTATATATATATATATACATATATATAGACTTGGGATCATGTGAGACCAGCCTGTTTTCGTGAGACHMGTGAGACCAACATTTTACACTTGAAACTTCACAGCAAAATGCTGTGAAAGTGACTTTTTAAAACCTTCACAGTGTTTTTGCTGTGAAGGTTCGACTTTTTTTAAACCTTCACAATGTTTTTGCTGTGAAGGTTACGTGTAAAAATATGGTCTCACGGGTCTCACGAAAACATGTTGGTCTCACGTGAACCCAACCCTATATATATATATATATATATATATATATATATATATATATTCACCCATTCAAGATAATTATGTTGTTTATGAAATATAAAAAGAGTAAATACTAATAAAAAGATATAACACATGTATTTAATTGTATGCCCCCATAAATAGAAAATCCATAATTCTCGTAACTATGAAATCCATAACTCCCCTATAAAAAGCATTAATTAATTGTTTACAATGTATGTATAAGTCGTTACACACTGTTTTTTTTTAATTATGTAGTGTTTTATGTTTTTTTTTGTTTTTGGTGATGTTAAGTTGTGTCACATTGTGTTCACAATGTGTAATAAAAACAAGTGGTCACAATGCTTAATTGAAATAATATTTGATAATGACCCATATTGTGATACTATAGGTTTTTGGTTCTGGATTCATTGAAGATGTTTGACGGATGTTCAAATTTGATTATTGATTTGTTTACAATGTCTATTCAAATTATTAAATAAAGGTTTTAGGAATCTTTAGTTTTTTTACTTTTTGTTCTTGATGTGTTTTTGTGTTTCACAATTTTGTAACAAAAATATGTAGTCACAATATTTAATTGAAGCACTTATATATATATATATATATATATATATATATTTAATAGTTATTCAAATCGTGATATAAATATGCATATCGTGTTTTTGTTTACAAGTGTACCATAGAAAGGTTGTGGAGAGGAAAGAGGATAGAAAAAAGAAAAGAGATAAGAGATTTAAAAAAATAACCATATATATTACTTCTGCAGGATTTTTTTGCCAAAATCCCCAAAATTATAAAACCAGTAAATTAAAATTGATTTAGATTAGTTCGTGGTTAAGATTGGATGCGTCTTATAAAATATAAGTTCTCCATGATGACCTCATATATATATATATATATATGTATATATATTTTATGTATGTATGTATGTATGAATATATGTATATATCCCTTTTTGTTGTAGTGTCTTAAAAATTACACACACATACACATGCACATACACACATACATATATATATATAGGAGCTTAATTATTTGAGAACACTAAAATTTGTGAGATCCTTGAAAACTTTAATTCTAAGGTTTTGTTTCAAAATATTTTTTTTTTCATCTAAATATAGTACATAATGTATGATTAACATAAATTTATTTCACAATGTGTTTATTTCATATATTCGGTTCATAATATGAAAAAAAAAACTAAGTGTATTTTTTGTTTCACAAACAAGGTAAAAAAGTTCATGTTGTGAACTAAGTACATATGAAACAAACACATTGTTAAATAAATATATGCATGTCCATCACTACATTAAATCTAACCATAAATGAAAGCAGATCATATCAAATATCACATGATATACTGTATCTTAAAGATCTTAAGACTTAAAGACTTCTAAAAAATCATCTCTCTCTCTATATATATATGAATTATTTGTGTAAACATATATGTGTACGTACATGCACATGATAAAACCGGTGTTTTAGTATATAATTCTACTATAAGAGCTCTTAAGAATTTGCATTAAATACACACAAAAGGTATATTTATACTGTAAATATCATTTTTTTTACAATTGCAACTTAAAATTACACTTGAAATTAGTGGATTAATTAAAGAATAAATTAAATGGAAATTATATAGTATATAGTCTCATAGATGGTTACATTAAGACCTATCTGATTCGTTTCTTTTTAGCTTTGTAGGACCTTGGTGTAGCCAGCTTGTTTTCATTAAATACGAAGTTTGATTCTGACCAAATGAACCATATCTTCTTAACACACACTTACTTTGCCAACTAAGAACACAGTGTTGGTCTATTCCTTTTTTTCACCTATATATGTTACTTTAACTTTTTAGAACGAGAGTCGGATTCATACAAAAATGATTATATATATATATATATATAAGAGTCGAGTTCATACGAGAATAATGACCAAATAAGAGAATATAAAAACAGTTGATTCTCATTTGTTGCTCGTTAATGTAAAATCAGATGTGATTTGTATGTGATTTGACTGTTTTTATGTTCATTATTTATTTAGTTAGTTTTCTCATTTTTCGAACATTTAAACATGATCAATGTCAAATATAATATTTGAATCATTCATTTTTATTAGAACGGCTTTCGAGTCTTGCAAAACATAGATTAATATCAAATAATTAAAAAGAAAAAAACACCCAGAAAACTTAGGTTATCAAACAGTATAATTCCATTAAACAATTTGATATAATCATGTGTATATATATAATATTATATATATATGTGCATATATATATATATATATATATATATATATATATATATATATATATATATATATAACATAGGTTATGGGAAATTGAGAAAGAAATAGTGAAGAGTAGTTGTAGGTTTTGGATGATTCCAAAGACTCCTCACGGGGAATTTGGAGTTCCCCTTTCTCTCTTTCTCAAAACAGCCGTCACCTTTGTCTTCCTCCTCTTCCTTCTCTCTCCACTTCTCTTCCCTCTCTCTCTCCACACGTGCATTTATGTTTCATTCTGTACAACAATTCCTTCACATCATTCATCCACTTAACCTTACATAATATATAATTAATATACACACACATATATATATATATATATATATATACACACACACATAAAACATATATAAAAGAAAGAGACGAGTTCTCATGAGAAAACTCCTCGTTTTTGTATGAACTGTTATAACCATGCGCAACCATCGATCACTTTTGATCCACTATTGATGGTTGCGCTTGTTTGTAAAGGAGGGGCAATTTGGTCTTTTAATTTTCTGCATTCAAGCATGATTTTATCGATTTTGTGAGTATGATTTAATCGATTTTGTGAGTGTATGCGGGAATTTTTATATGAAGGTATTTTAGTTTATGTAAAGACATGTAAACATTTTCATATTAATTTATGTAA